GTGCTCCGACTGTGCTGCCCGCCTGCCCAGTGCTATGGCTGGGGGCACTCCCCACCAACCCATCCAGTGCTGGGGCTGGATGTGCTCCAGCTGCGCCACCTGCCGGCACTGGGGCTGGGAGGATGCACAGAGGAGCCAGCGACGGCGGGGGGGCAGTGTGCTTTGGGCTCCAGTGAGGGAGCAGAAGGGATGGGCCCTTGGGCAGAGTGGGAGGGGCCGGGGGCTAGCCTCCCCCAACGGTGCGTTCACCCGCCGCCCATGAGCCTAGGATGGAGTGGGGGGTTGAGCACCCCCCAGGAAATCTGGAGCCTATGTTCCTAGGAATGCGCAGGGTGGTACCGGCAGTGGTGAAGGCCAACGGCTAGGCATGTGGAAGCCCTGGCCGTGCCGGAAGAACATGCCCAGCAGCGCAGCCGGCAGCTCACTGGGCACCAGCAGGGGCCCATTGACTGTTCTGCCCTGGGGCCTGGAATTGCTGTTGGCGGGCCTGCTCACAGTTTTATGATTATGAATCCTGCTTGTGGTATTTTCCCTAATTAATGTCAGGTGACTTCCCTCTTTTCATTAAAAGTTTCTTTTCTCACTCAGACTCTGTGCTTGCGAGTGGGGAAGTATTGCCTCTCAGAGGCACTCAGGGGTAGTGTGTAATTGTCCCAGGTCACTGGGTAGGGGCTCGAGCCGGTTCTGTGTTGTTTTGTTGAAAAGGAGCCCCTAGATATTGAACCCAGCCCTGGTTGCTGCTGGCTCAGCTTCCATCTGGCAGAAGGGTTACACTTAGAAAGGAGGAGAATAAGAGGGGACATAAAGAAAGTCTACACAGTAATGATTAGTCTAGAGAAGGGAGAATGGGAACCTCTGTTCTCCCTAGCCCCTAACACAAGAACAAAGGGACTGTCAGTGACATTGAAAGTTGGGAAATTTGAGATCAACAAAAGGAAATATTTTAGGGTAATCAGATCATAGGAACTCTTCGCTACAGGATGTTTTAGAGGCCAAGAACATATCAAGTTTCATGTAGGGATCATACCTATATATGGATAACAAGAACAACCAGAGTTATAGCTAATGCTAAAAAAGCTTATTGGATATGAAATCATATGCTTTAGGGTTTAAGCAAATCTCTAATTATTGGCGCCTAGGATGAGACCTTCATGAGTGTCAGATTATCCTACAACTTCTTACTCTGGCATGGCCTGCCCCTTCCTCTGAAGCATCTGGTGCTGACCAGTGTCAGAGACAGGACACTGTGTCAGATGGACCACTGGGCAAACCCAGCCTGGTAATTCCTTATGTTCCTATAAAATTCTCAGGTAAACTCATAACACTAAAATGGACTCTGCTTCCTCACATCACCCTCCCCTTGCCTCAAGTCCAATCTAAAAAAAAAATCAGCATCTGTTTGAAAGTAACTTGCAAAACTGTATGGGACACTTTACATGGACTGCTCAACCTGGTGCCTTTAACAAATCTCTACAAACTGGGATACCACTTAGTGGTGAAACAATCACATTTTTGGTAAAGCTGATGACAATTGAATAGTAAAATGACTGATTTGCCCATATTTATGCTGCATTGTGCTGACTATGGTCTTTGGGATATGTCATTTGGGAGCTCTGGGGCAACTGCTAGTGACTCATTAAAACCCTAATATCCCTTGTCCCTTCAATAATATCTTCCCTCTGAGGATCTCAAAGTGGTTTACATGTATGAAGCTTCCAAACTCCTGAGGAGGGAGGAAAGGAATACACAGGGAGCGATCAGCGATGTCTTCTCTTTTTCACTGAAATAATAAAATAATTAGCTGAGAAAGCAAGGCCCTACCCTTAACTTGATGGCATTCCTTTGTCTGTCTGTGACATAACTTCTGTAATTGTCTATATATTAAAGAACCACTTGATGGCAGTCATTAATACCTTCCAGCATAACAACACCCCCATCTCAGCTCTGCCCATCCTCCCACTGAAGTTTCATATGTTGATACTCTGAATGATTCCTCTCCCAAACAGAAAGAAAAGAAAGAGGAATCATAGAATCACAGAAACATAAGGCTGGAGGGTACCTCAAGAAGTCATCACATTCAGCTAGTTGCACTGAGGCAGGACCTAGAGCATCCCTGACAGGTGTTTGTCCAACCCCTTCTTAAAAACTCCAGTGATGGGGATTCTACAACCTCCATTGCAATCCTATTCCACAGCTTAAACTACTCTTATAGTTAGAAAGTTTTTCCTAATAGTTAACCTAAATCTCCCTTGCTGAAGATTAGGCCCATTACTTTGTGTCCTACCTTCAGTGGCTCTGGAGAACAACTAATCACCATCCTCTTTATAACAGACTAACATACTTGAGACTCTTATCAGGTTCCCCTCCCCAAAAAATCTTCTTTTCTCAAGATTAAACATATTAAAAAACTGAGTCTTTCCACTTAGGTCAGGTTTTCTAAATCTTTTATCATTTTTGTTGCTCTCCTCTGGACTCTCTTCAATTTGTCCACATCTTTCCTAAAGTGTGGTGCCCAGAACTGGATATGGTACCCCAGCTGAGGCCTCACCAGTGCTGAGTAGAGCAGGACAATTACGTCCCGTGTCATACATATGGCACTCCTGTTATTACACCCCAGATTTAGATCAGCTTTTTTTGCAATTACATTCCATTGTTGACTCATTTTCAATTCGTTATTCACTATAACCCCCAGATTCTTCTCAGCAGTATGACCACCTAGCCAGTTATTTCCCATTTTGTAATTGTGCATTTCATTTTTCCTTCCTAGAAGTACTTTGCATTTATCTTTATCAAATTTCATCTTGTTGGATTCTGATCAATTCTTCAGTTTGTCAAGGTCACTTTGCATTCTAATTCTGTCCTCCGAAGTGCTTGCAACCCCTTCCAGCTTGATGTCATCCACAGATTTTATAAGCATGCTCTCCACTCCATTATCCAAGACATTAATGAAAATATTGAATAGTGCTGGACTGTGTTCCCTGTAAGCTGCGTACTTGGGTGGCTGTGCAGAAGAGATTCAAATGCCGCCCAGCTGATTAGAGCGCGCACACAGCTGGCAGCATGTGCTCAGGTGCCCCTCCCCCCACGTTGCACCATCCTGCAGCTGCTCCCGGGACCTTACTGCTAGCTGTGCAGAGCGGGGGGTGGGGGGAGGAGGAGAGTGCTGATGTCAGGGTGTCCCCCTTCACCACTATTCCCCATCTCTGCAGAGAGGACAGCCTGGGTCAGGAGGACTTGGAGCTGCTGCTGCAGTCTGAAGGGGGAGTGCCTTTCTTAAAGAGACAATGAACTGTTTCTGAGATTTCCCAGCAGCCATCTCTCTCTCACACACACACACACACCCCCTTGTCCATATACCTCCTCCCTGCAGAGTGGGGGATGGGAAATAACAGGACTCAGAGCAGGAGAGCTTTCAGTGAGTGTCTTAAAGAGACAGCGCCCAGCTTTCCCCAGCAGCCAGCCCACACAGTCTCTGTGTCACACTGCCCTGTGTCTCACACAGTCTGTCTCTCTCTCTCACTCACACACACACACACACACTCTGTCTCTCACACACATACAACTATCTGTTGGGAGGTAAGAGTGTATTATTGTTGTTACTTCTTGGTACTTCCTGCAATGCACATATATTCTCTGTAATTTTATTCTTTCAAAGTGTGTTATTTTAGTGTTTTGACTGGTCTATGCATTTCATAATTTTTATTTCTCTTACAGTTAAATTTAATTCTTTGAGTGGTGAATTCTCAAATGCCTAACCTGTCCTGGCTGGAGTAATTATCCCTATGGTAACTTTTAAAAAAAAAATATATATATATATATATATAGGTTTTTTGTTTCTACGGATGGCGCATATGCACACATAAAATTTATTCCACACATGAATGGAAAAAAATTAGAGGGAACATTGGTGCTGGACCCTACTAGATATGCCCTCCCAGTTTGACAGTGAATCACTGATAACTACTCTTTGAGTATGTTCTTTCAAGCAGTTGTGCACCCACATTATAGTAATTCCATCTAGACCCCATTTCCCTAGTTTGCTTATGAGAATGTCATTGGGGACTGTGTCAAAAGCCTTACTTTTGTGTAACAGGCAAGGGAGAGGACAAGGGAGCTCCTGGCATGATAGGGGGAATGGGGGACAATGGTAAGAGGGACAGAAGAGACATAGATGCCCTGGCATGGGAGAAAAATGGAGGACCCTAGTAATGGGGAGGGGGCAAACAGAACCCCTGGCATGAAGCAGGGGAGTGATGTTATAAAGAGTTCCTGAAATAGAGGGGGACGGGACAGTGGCACACAAGGAACAGGGGGTGGGGAATAGGGGATGCAAAGAGCCCCTAGCGTGTGCAATGCATTCAGCCTACATAAGCTACAAAATTTGCAAGCCTACAGTAATATTTAATGCAGCTACCGCTGAGGTAGGACACAGCAGCGGTTTAACAGCCACACAGCAGCACTGCACAATAATTTGTGACAGGAAGCAAAGGGGAGTTCTGTATACAGTGAGACCACAGGGGGATTTAGGGTTGTGAAATGGATGCACCCAGCAGGGAGCCTGGTGTGGGACACTTGACAGGTTAATGCCCCAAACTAGGGGGAAATGACAGGGATGTTTAATGATCACGAGTGGTCAGGAGCTCTTGCGTTGATGTCTCCTCAGAAAGAGTGAATGGTGGAGAGAGAGAGCGAGAGAGAGAGAGCGCGCACGCTCAACTTTTCCTTCTCTGGTGCCATTTTGTTTTCCTTCCTGAAAGGCTAGAAACTAACGATGTACAGCAGGAAATCAAAAATAAAAGTGAAATCCACAGAAAGGGGGCAGATTTCAGGGAAGCTGCTTCACACAGACAACCAGATGCAAACAATGTGCTAGACAGGCCCATTTCACCCCAAATGCACACAGAGACCAAAGAGTTTCTAGTGGGGGGGTTTTATTGAAGGATATTTTCTTCTGAGTGCTAATAAACTATAGCAAAAACTCAACAATGCAATATCTCTGGCTGCAGGATCCGCTGTGCCAGCGAATAAGTGCCGGAGCAGGGTGCTTATGGGATACACAGAGAGGGAAGTTGGCAGTGGGAAGTTAAATGCCCTGTGGGCAAAGGGGAGCCAGGTCTCTGCCAATCTCCCCATCTGTTAAAGGCCACTGACACCCCTCAAAGGAAGGAGAAAGGCCAAAGGAGACAAAGGGTGTGAGAGAAACAAGTGGAAGTGAAACAGGTTATGAACACTGGAGTCCTTCATCTCCAAAAAGGAAGCTCAGAAACCTGTACAACCCCTCATCCCAACCTTCCTGCACCCAGGTGACTCCTATCTCCTTTGTCATATGACTCCCACTCCCTCAGCAGTGGCATGGTCCCCAAGCTGTGTCCATGTGACCTCCATGCCCTCTGGACAAGTCTGAATGGTTCCCATCCCCCAGCTGTGTAGCAGAATCTTGTTTTCCCATCAAAGTGCTTGCCATTCTGATTGACCTTTGTGCCTTCTCTTCCATCAGCACTCTGTTTGCAGGCTTTTCCCTTCCTGGCCTTCATCCTTTCCTGCATTCCCTGGTGTGGGTGTGGTAACCGCCCGCTCCAGTGCCGGGAAGGCTGGGGAGAATATCTGAAAGGGAAAAAGAAGAGATGATTGGGGAATGCATGATGCTTACATCTGGCCCCAGCATGATGCTTACATCTGGCCCCTGGGTCTGAATAGCCACTGTAGGTCTTATCCCTCAGGGGCCTAGATAGTCACAGAGAGAACCCCAGGAATCCTGATTTCTACTTCTTCCTGTTCTAACCCACTATACCCTTCTCTCTCACACAACCAGGAATAGGATTCAGGAAACTTGACTCCCAGTTTCCCTTGCTGTAACTACTATACTCCAGTCCTCTTCTAGAGCTGAGAACAACAACCCAGGAGTCATGCTCCATAGTCAAGTTCCCTTTCCTGTGGAGAATGCTGGCTTGATATTATGCTGTGTATAGTTGCGTTATGCCTTTAATGTGGTGGCCTTAATCTATGAAAGGAGCCAAGAGCCATTATGATGATCTAGTCTAACCTCCTGTGTAAACCCACCCAGAGAATGCACCCAGGAATTTCTGCATCAAGCCCATAACTTCTGGTTGAGTTAGAGCGTATCTTTCAGAAAGACATCCAGTCTTGATTGAAGAATCCACCGTAACCCTTGGTAAATTGTTCCAATGGATAATCAAACTTGCTGCTAAATACAGATTAGAAACAAGGTGCAACCTTTTATCTAGCTTCAACTCAGACATTGGCGCTTACTATGCCTTTTTCAGCTAGATTAAAGAGCTGTCTACTATCAGAAATCCCTTCCCTGTGTAGATACTTGTAGCCGGTGATCAATTCACCTATTAACTTCTCTTGGTGAAACTAAATAGATTGAGCTGCTTGAGTCTCTCATGATGAGACAGGCTTTCCAGACCTTGAATCATTCAAAATACACTCAGGAGCACTATCCTGTGGATACATAGCTCTAATAGTATTGAAAGGTTCAGGGTCACCTCTACTGAAGTAAACTCTGGGGTGTTACTCTTCAAGTGTACCATGGGTTCTCAGCTTGAGCTTTGAGACCTCCAGGTGGGTGATGAACAGGGGCTTGTCCTGTCTATATTGCGAAATAGGGATAGGGATAGCCCTGCTAGATGAGAGCAGTCCCCATTATAGAAAAAGAGGTCCTGGTATTAAAGAGTTTGAGAGCCAGTCTACATCTACACTACAGCTGGGATCAACACTGAGATCAGTCCACCGGCGGTTGATTTAGCGGGTCTAGTGAAGACCCACAAAATTGACAGTTCACTCTCCAGTCAACCCCTGTACTCTACCCACGATGAGAAGAATAAGATAAGTCGATGGGAGAGTTTTTCCTGTCAACCCCCTGCAGTAACTCGACTTAAGGTACATTGACTCCAGCTTAGTTATTCATGTAGCTGGAGTTGTGTAGCATAGGTCGACTTACTGTAATAGTGTAGACATAGCCCCAGTAAAGTATACGAAAAGCAGGAAGCCTGAGAGAATAATTGGGTCCTATGGACCACTGGGGGAGCAATTAGAGGAGGAAGTTGCAATGCAAGTTTGCCCAGAAGAAATGTGATTTCCTTGCATGAGTCTTTGCCACTGAGGATGTTGGGGGGATACCTAACAAAGACCTGCTCTTTAGGGTGACAAAGCTGAGGCACTGCGAGAGGCTGAAGTCTGAAAAAAGGAGATCCTAGAACAAACTGATAAATTAAAAAAGTGTGACAAGTCACCAGGAGTCGATGGGACCTGGGTCTGATGCTGCTAACAAGAATATGCAGCCTCATTAAAATCAGCAAGTGTACATTGATCCTGATAATTACACATCAGTGAGTCTGACCTCAGCCCCAGAAAAACTGTAGCACGAAAGTTACCATAGAACAGGAAAATTGTTTGAAACAATAATTAGAGCACTATAAAACCCTTAGAAGAACATGATCTGATAGCTATAAACTAGTGCCTGCAAAGGAAAATCATGCCACTCTAATCTATTAGAATTCTCTGAATGAGTCACCAATATTGTGAATAAAGAATGACCCAGTTACCATGATTTTGGGGGGGAGGGGGAGGGAGGGAGAGGGGGAGATTTCAGAAGACTTTGACAAAGTCCCTTCTGAGATGCTGTTAAGGAATTAAGTAGCATGGTGTGAAAGGTTAAGTTTTATTATGGATCAGAAACTGGCTAACAGAGAGAAAGTAGGAATAAATGATACATTTTCATCATGGCCAAAGGTTAGTAGTGGTGTGCCACAAGGTTCTGTACTAGGACAGGTGTTTACCATGTTTATATGTGTACAATTTTTTTTAAGTGCCTAAAAGACTTAGGAGTACAACTGGCCAGAAAATGGGGGCATCCCCCACAGAAAATTTTGACTTCTTGGTGGGAAAAAAAAAAAATCAAAACCTAAACATTTTTGGCCAAACACTAATGCTTTCCATTTGGAAATGCTACCAGTGACTCATGGGATTTGTAGTTTGGATGCCCCATGCCCACATTCTCCTCTATGGGCCAGGCACCCTGGTCAGTCTATATCTCCCCTCTTGTTGAGCCATTGTGGTGCATCATGGGAGTTCTACAGCCATGGTGCATCATGGAAGATGGAAGTCTGTTTGCAGAACTTGGCCCATAGAGAAGAATGGGGGCATTAGGCACCCAAACAACAACTCCCATGAGACACACTTCTGGCATTTCCAAATTCAAATTTTGGATTCTCGGTGACAAGTCAAAAGTTTCTGAAAAAGTAATTTTTGCAAAAAAATTAATATAGTAAAAAAAACGAGTTTTCAATGAACCCTACTTAGGAGCCTGGAAGTCAAATTGTCAGAAGCAACTTGGCAATTTTTATTCACTTAAGGCCCGTTGAAGTGCAATAAGCCTTAGTTTCCCCAAGTACCTAAATCACTTTTGACAATGTGACTTGAGATCCTAGGTCCTTCAGTGATTTTAAAAGTTTACCTAGTCTGGAAAAGGGGATGAGTAGTGAAGTAGCAAAATATGCATATAGCACAACATTATTTAAGTTAACAACACTGGAGAAGACCGAGCTAGCACAGAGAGTTGTGGATTCTCCATCACGGGCAATTTTTAAATCAAGATTGGATTTTTTCCTAAAAAGATCTGCTCTAGTCCAAACAGGAATTAGGCTGGGGAAGTTCTATGGCCTGTGTTATACATGAGGTCAGACTAGTTTATGACAATGGTCCCTTCTGGCCTTGGAATCTATGAATTAAAGCTAGATGAATGGACATCAATTGCAGATGAAACTCCGTGTAGACCAGAGGTCCCCAAAGTGTGAGGTACGCCCCCTAGGGGTGTGTGGAGCATGGGCAATGGGTGAACCATAAGCTTGGGGACCTCTGGTCTACACTGAGTTTCACCTGACATTGGGGGCCTTGGGCGAGAGCTGTTTGGGGAAGCACAGCCTTCCCCAGCCTATTATACCTGCCGCCCATAGCATGGAGGAAAGTCCAGGAGGGGTTGGGGGTGGGGGGAAAAAGAGGGCATGGCAGGGCACAGACCAGCCCCTAGGGATGTGGGGAGGGAGCACCATCCAGCCCTTCCCTACCCCCAGCTCTGCTCCAGTCCCACTCATGGCCCTGTCCCCAGCCTCGGCCCCTGGCCATGGCCCCAGCCTTGACCCCCTTGCCCCTGTCAGCATCTCCCCGTCCCAAGCCACAGCCCCACTCCTGGCCCTGGAGGCAGACAGGGTAAGGGGAGGATGCGACCCTCAATAATTTGGTGACCACTGGTGTAGGCATGGTAATTCACATTGAAAGCAATCTGAACTCCAACAATTTATTTGGTTTTAAATTAACCATAACTACTTACGGGAAAAGACCTAGACATTGTGTAATTGGAAAAAAATTGGGGGGTGGGGGGAGGGGAAATCTCTGCTCACCAGGTAGCAGTAGTTAAAAAGCCAACAAAATATTAGCATGCACAGGAATGGGATGGAGAATGCTACTGGAGCTATTCCTATGTCACTAGGAAAAATTAGTGACATGACCTTATCTGGTCACCCTTTCTCTAAAGAGAGATAGTAAAATAGAGGGGCTTCAGATATGAGTGATGAAAATGATGTGAGGCCTTGAAAGATTTCCGAATGAAAGACTGAGTTTGTTGTGTTTAGAGACGAGAGAAATAAGAAGGGATATTCTAGATGAAAACAAAATTCTAACTGAGTGAGAGTCAGTCAGGATGAATTTATCATAACACAGAACAAAGATTATCAGTAAAATTGAAAGACTGCAATTTCAAAATGGATAAAAGGGAAGAGTTTTTACACATTGCATAATGAGCCCCGGGAACTCACTGCCCCAGGATAATGTGGAAGCCAAGAGCTTAGCAGGATTCAAAAAGGTACTGGACATTTACATACACTGGAACAATTTGCTAAGGGTCATGGTGGATTCTCCATCACTGGCCATTTTAAAATCAAGATTGGATGTTTTTCTAAAAGATCTGCTTCAGGAATTATCTTTGGAAGTTCTAGGGCCTGCGTTATATAAGAGGTCAGACTAGATCACCACAATGGTCCCTTCTGGCCTTGGAATCTATTAATCTGTATGGGAATTGAGAACATCCACAATTACATTAGATCAGATTATGAAAAAGAAAGTACAACCACAATAGTTTGGAAGGGATATAAACCCTCATCCTTTAAGGCACAAGAGGACCTCAAACTGACAGGAGTTAAGAGGAAACTATAAATTGTCCACTAGAGGGTATTTTGCCCCTTCCTCTAAGGCATCTGGCACTTGGCCACTGTCAGAGACAAGACACCGGGCTAGCAGGACCACTGGGCTGATCCAGCCTGGCAATTCCTATATTCCCAGTACATATTGCATATGACCAGGGCAGAGCTGGCAGGCTACCCAATGTAGCCTCTTTGCCCTGCACACACAGCCCAACCTGAAGCAGGGTTGGCAAGCTTAGATGGGCTCAATCACAGCCCTTTCCCCCCTGGTTCTTCCCTCTCAGCTCTCCCATTCACTCTCCCTTTGTCATGCTACTCAGACACTTCTTTGACAGTTCTGCCCAAGGAGGAATGAACAATGGCCTTGGAGAGAGAAGACAGATGGACAGAGACAGGGCATTGGACTGACTCACCCTACGGTTCTGCAGGATCAAAGCCAGGATGGAGGCCACAAGCAGGAGAACGAGAACAAGGATAAGGCCAAAAGAGGTCTGCCCATCCAGAATGGGACAAGGACCAGAGAGCTGGGCACCTGTAAGGAGAAGTCACAGTTAGAAAGGAGAGTGAAAGGGAGGTGATTGGAATGGGAAAGGGATGGGATTGCACTGAGGGGGCTGACATTGGAAAGGGAATAGTAGAATTGGTCTGGCAGAGTTGGGGTGGGGAGTCAGAGGGTTGGGACTAGTTCGGGGTATGGACGAGGTTTGGAAAATGTTGGCTGGTCAAGTGGAGCATAAATCTTGGGGCACAGGGAGATGGAAGTGGGGTGGGGTGGAGGGAATTGGGCACAGGGGAGACTGTACCTATAATATACAGCTCATATTCCACAGCTCCCAGCCTCCCTTCTGAGCCATGGACACTGCACTCCCAGGTGCCGATATCCTCCTGTGACACATGGGTCAGTTCCAGGGTGGAACCCAGATAGTAGCGCTGGACTGCTGGGCTCCTGGGAGTGGCCTCAAATGAGCTCCCATTGCTGAGGCCTGAACTCAGTTGCCTCCACTGAAAGTGCTCGTGCCCCCTGGGGTGGGTGAGGCTGCAGATAAGCAGCAGACGAGAGCCTTCAGCGACTGGCCCTTTGATACTTGGGGTGACTGTGGGGGAGGGAAACAGAAATACCCTCAGCAAAGAAAGCAGAGCCTCTTCCTGCCCCATCCCTTCATCACCTCCTTCCTCTGTCACGTTCCTCCTTTTTCACTCTCACACCTTCTCTCATTGACTCCCTGGCTCCCCCCCCCCATTTTCCTACTTTAAGACAGATTTCTTAAAGAAAAATAATTGAACCACCATGAGAAACCTTCCTATAGCACAGCATCCTGTGGATAGAGAGACTCCACTCCTGTGCAGCTAAATGCCCGAGCTGAGACACAGGGTCTCTCCCCATGGGGAGGCTGGACAGGCCAAGAACAGCCCAAACTCACCACATTGGTGTGCAAGGAGATTTTCTCCAAGCCAGTGAAAGCCACTGGATGGGAAGAGTGCCCTTGGCATCCTCTCGGCTTCCATTGCTCACCTGTCATCACTGCCAAGGTCACATCCCTAGTGATGGTCGTGCCATGGATAGAGACAGCACAGCAGTATTGCCCTGCGTCCCGTGGCCCCACCTCAGGGAGATGGAGGGTGAAGCTCCCATTGCTCCCATTCCTGGAGATGCCCCATATTTCCAGATCCCCTCGTGCAAGACGGCTCCAGTGGACTGACACCCCTAGAATGCTGGAAGCACTGGGGTCTCGGTTCAGGAGGCAGGGAAGGTTGGCAGCAGATCCTACTGCAGCATAGACTACAGGAGAGGCTGGCCCAGCAAAACCTGGAGAAAACAAAGAGTGTAGGGCAACATTAGGTGGTATGAGGTCCACCAAACTGCAACAGAAGAGGAGGTTACCAGCCCTTGTGGGGAGGGGATGCTGGGACAGAGGGGAGCCATGACTGAGAAAGCAGGGAGGGAAGCAAAGAGATCCAAGGAGGCTACTCACGATAGGGCAGGAGTTGGAGAGGAGGCGGCTATTGTGAGAGGCCAGAGGTCTCTGGGAGCTGAGAGGGTGAGTTGGAGGCTAGAGTTACCTAGAATTTGAAGGTTGAATGTGGCAGAAACTCTCTCATCATCTGAGTATGTGAGTTCGCAGCGCCAGGGTCCTGAATCGCTCACAGTTGGCCTGGAGATGGATAGAGCCCCATGGCGGGAACGAAACCTGCTGGAGATGGGGACCAAGCTGCCATTATGGAACCAGCGCATCCCCACAAGCTTAGCTGGATGACTGGAGTTGCAGTTTAGCAAGAGAGGCTCCGTTTCCACCAGGAGGCCTGGGGGATTGACAGTCACTGCGGAGAAGAAGGGAAAAGAGAAGTTAATGTCACAGGGGAGCCCTAAAACCATTCCCTCTTTGGAGCTCCCAGCCCCTCTCTGCGGGGCATTGAAGGGACAACCAACCTGTCCTTGGTCTCCCTGTTTTCCTTGTGTTTATCACCTAGAGATTTCCCTCTCTGGAGCTCTCAACCCATGGGATGAAGACAGGGGAGTTGCCTAATCTCAGGAGGCTGCATCTCATTTTCTAACCTCCTGTTCCAGTCCTGGGCTCCCCTCCCAGGACTTTTGGTCCTAACTGACAGTACCCTGCTGTTCCAGGGATCCCTGTTGGGCTCCAGCTTCTCGTACCTGTCACCATGCCCAGCTCCAACTGGCAGCGCCGAGTCTCCTTGCCATATCTCACCAGCGCCTCGTAATGGCCTGCATCGTCACTCAGTAGTGGCTCAATCCAGAGGGAGAAGTCCCCTTGGCGGAAGCCAGTTTCCCTAACTGAGGCTCGGGGCATCATGGATCGGGCTCTTTTCAGGAGACCACTGTACTCCACCTCCAGCACCATGTGGGGCTCTTTGTGGGAGCTGGGGATATGAGCAGGGGGAAATGAGTTAATACTAGGAGAGGGAGAGAAAGAGATGGGAGGAAAGGCAGTGAGAAGGGATGGGAATCAAAGACTGTGGAAGAGGAGAAGAAATAGGAAAAGAATCAAAAAGCACAGCACCCCCACCCTCGCAGCCTGCATTACCTTTCCCCATGCCGCTCCCAGCGGACAGCTGTCTTCTCATACAGCTGCTTCCAGCTGCTCTGCAGCTCCTGAGGACTCAGGTGACAGGGGAGCACAACCAGGTCTCCCACTTTGGCCCACACCCTCTGCTCCCCCCTCTGCTCCTTTGGTGCTCCAGGGGAAGTACTGCTGGCTGCAACAAGACAGAGAACTGAGTGGGGGGGGGGGTTAGAAATGGGAGTGGAGAAGTTTTTTTCCTGTCCTGAGAGGACCCTGCCAAGGAGAATGGAGGAGGGCTGGGGAGCAATATGGGAATAAGGGAACACTGAAGGGTCAGGAAAGCAAGATCTGCCAAGCGTTCAGCTTTGAATTGCTAAAATCCTGTGGACCAAGTAAACCCCCAAATGTCCCCAGTGCAACTACCCTCCACCCCCAAAAATACTCAGCCCCCCTTACCATTGGTCACCAGCAGCGTGAGGGTGAGAGACAGTGGCATAAATGCCAATGTCATGGTGGCATCAAGGAGACAAAGGGGATGTGTCTCCACACTCACTTCACCGCCAGAATGGATCCAAAGCTTCAAGGGACGAGTGAGAATGAGGCATGGACTGGACAAAGAAGGGGACAAGTGAGTGGGTTGGTCAGACTCTCTCGTTCACTTGCTCTCTCACTCGCTCTCTCTCGTTCTGATCAAAGCCTGTTCCCTAGATGCCCTTATAATGCGGGTGGGCAGCTAATTTCCTCACAGCACTGAGAAGATGCGTCACAGCCAAGAAACCAGCATCAGACTGAGGCACGTGCAGAAAGAGATGGAGACAGAGGAAGGAGGAGTCAGAGATTGTGTTCTAAGCATCTTTTAGTGGAAATTCTCTCTCTGGGTTTCTGTTGTTTTCTTCACAGTTTCGCTTCTACCCAGACAGCGGAAAATTTGTAGAAGACACTTCCCAGCAAGTGCCCTTCATGTTTTTCTTTCATCTTACCTTTTTTGGTTTGATCTTTCCGCCAATTGTTTTAGTCTTTTCAAAATGCCTTGTTCCTCTTTCCATTTTTTCTTTTACTTTCTCAAATATATGCTTTCTTTTTCTGTTTTTCCAATTCACAGGGGACACTAAATGAGGAGCTGCAAACAGGAAGGACAGGCAAATAACCCAAAAGGACTAAGACTAGAGATGGCATAGGTCCTGGAACTAGGAGTGCTTGAAGTGGTTATCATATACAGGGTTTACAGTTTGGTTCAATGGCTCTCAGCACCCTCCCCCACACACAAAAATTGTTCCAGCTCCCGTGGGAGATGGGGCCAGGAAATAAAGTGAGCTTCAGCCAGGACAAATGTGACTAGTAGATCCAAAATCCAGGACCACATTGGAAGGGAGATGGCCAGGAGGAGCTGAGGGAGGAGGCTGCAGAAAAGGTTACTGTGCTTTGGGGGCTGCATGGCAAGACATTGCATCCCTGAACAGGGAGGGAATGATCCCTCTCTATCCACTTTTGGGGAGACGCCACTTCAGGTCCTGTGATGTGGGGGCTTCTCCCAGCTCCCATGTAGGTGCTGGGAAGTTCAGGGAGAATGGAACTGAACTTTGCATAGTGCAATTCGTAGATTCCCATCCCGTCACACATGGGGCCCCCTTGTCACCTCAGAGAATCCCTCCTTTTGTGGCTCATACTTTCCAGCACCCACTGGTTTTGGCTCTATCTGACTTAATCATGCATTTGCCCTCCCTGGTGACTTCTGACTGTGCCCCCTTCTGTGCACACATCCCCCACTAACTGGAGTGGGCGGGGCCTCTCCCTGGGGTGGGGGAGCACAGGGTGACTCAGGGGCAGAATTTCACCTCTGCTGGAGGATCTCTCTCTCGCTCTGCTTTTTGTCAGCAGAGTGATCAAGAGGGAGGAATAGGGAAACAGAGAAGCAGGTAACAGAAAAGGAGAGGAGAGGTTGGAGAACACATTACAGTTAAAGCAGAGGGTGTTTTTCCTCCTGTTCAGCAAAAACAGTCCCTTGTGTCCGGTCTAAGCAGAGGGTATAGACTTTCCATTCCATTGAGTCAGCATCAAAGAAATGGCATGAGTGCGTGGGTGAAGGAGAAAGAGCAAGAGAACGAAAGAAAGAGGGGTCTGCAGCATGGCGAGGAGACACGTGGGGCTTCACTCTAGCAGGGCTGGCCTGAGGGAAAATGGCACCCTGGGCAAATTTGTATTCTGGCACACACACACACCTTGGTCCCTGTGGGCACAATGCCCCCCCATTGCCCCTGGCCACTCCAGGCTTCTGAGGCTCCCTGCCCCCTCCTTCACCCCTAACCCCTACACTGTGCCCCCTCCTGTGCCCCTAACCATTGCACCCCCCCATTCTGCACCCATGTGGGGAAACTGACCTGGATGCATGGAGTGCCTAGCATTGCTGCTCACTCACCCCCTTGAACACTGCTCCTCTGCACACCCGTCGGGGGCTGCAAGAGGGGGGGCAAAGTCAGGGCTCCCTGCATCCAGGTCACTTTCCCCACTCGGGCTGCGTAAGAGGAGGACAGGAGAGCAGCAGCTCCTGATGTTTGCCTCACAGCACAACCCAGGTGGGGAAAGTGACCTGGATGCAGGGAGCACTTGGTGTTGCTCCTCTCTCGCTCCCCTCCGCTCCCCCCCCCTCCCCAACCACACACAGCTCCATTGCAGGGATGGTGACCTTGAGTAGTATCTGTACATCATCACTGTCCCTCCTTCCTCTGCAGGGAGGGAGCAGGGAGAAATCTGTGTGCCTCCCCACACGGGACATGGCACTCCCTTGCCAGCCGGGAGCAGTTTCTGACTCTAGACTGGCAGCACGCCTTGGTGCTGCCATAAACCATGGTATCTCTGGGTGGTTGCCCAGATAACCCACCCCTAAGACCGGGCCTGACTCTCAGGCCTCATCTGTCCCACCCCTCTCCCTGGCCCCCCTCCAGAGAGAGAGAGAGACAGGATCCTGCTCTCCATCCATCTGCTCCTCCCCCAATCACCACTCAATCCTTAATATTGGCCCAGGTGTTAACTCCACACACAGCATTGGAAGGGTTGTCTTCAAATGAAAGAGCTCATCTCCTCGTGTGATGGGTTTGGTCAGAGACACCCTTGGGTCTGTCACCTGATGTGCTAAGACTATCTCTGAGCCCATTTTCCCTGTCAGCTTGGGACTCCAGAACCCTGTCCTGTTCAGCCAGACACATAAGCCTGCTGCAACACATCCCCAGGGTCTGAACCACATTCCCAAAGCTGCAGGCTTTAACTGAAAGCCACTCAGCAGGTACTCCTGTCTCCAGCACCCAGCTCCTATTTTACTCTGTATAAAACTTATACAGGGTAAACAAATTCTCCGCCCTCTATAACACTGATAGAGAGTTATGCACAGCTGTTTGCTCCCCAGGTATTACTTACGCTGGGTTTACTAATAAACAAAAGTGATTTTATTAAGTATAAAAAGTAGGATTTAAGTGGTTTCAAGTAATGACAGAACAAAGTTACCAAGCAAAATAAAACAAAACATGCAAGTCTAAGCCGAATACATTTAAGAAACTGAATACAGGTAAATCTCACCCTCGGAGATGGTCCAATGAGCTTCTTCCTCAGACTAGACTCCTTCCTAGTCTGAGCCCAATCCTTTCCCCTGGTACACTCCTTGTTCCAGCTCAGGTGGTAACTCGGGGATTCTCATGACTGGCAGCCCACTTTATTCTGTTCCACCCCCTTTTATAGCTTTGGCACAAGGCGGGAATCCTTTGTCTCTCTCTGGGTTCCCACACTTCCTTCTAAATGGAAAAGTGCCACATTTAAGATGGATTCCAGTTCAGGTGACATGACCACATGTCACTGCAAGACCTCCTTCATAGCCTAGTAGCTGGAAGACATGGACATAGGAAGACTTGCAGGTAAACAAACCCATTCACAGGTCATTGATTCTGAAGCACCCTTAATGGCTTCCACTTAACATGTTTACATTAGTAATACAAGTTTATATCTTATTCTCCTAACTCCAGACATAGAAATAATACATGCAAACAAATAGGCTGAACACTCAGTAGATCATAAGCTTTGTAATGATCTTACAAGAGACCTTTTGCATAAAGCATATTCCAGTTACATTATATTTACACTCAAGCATATTTCCATAAACATATGGGGTGTAACGTCACATCTAGCTCTTAAAAAGGGAGGCCAGAATTTAGCTGTATATCTGCCACTGCCTGGGAAAGTAACCTAAAGCTCAGGCTTGGAGAGCTGAGGGGCTGGGACTGAGGACAATGCCTCTCATGCACAAGGGGATGTTGATGGTTGAGGGGTTATTGTGGTGAGAGGGCGTATTCTGAAATGATAGCTTTTGAGGCATTGTTTTACTCAGCGTGAGGCTCTATCTTTAGAAATGACATCTCTGACGTTTCTCTGTAATGACCCATTTTAAATGCTGACTCCATTGAATGTCACCTTCATCATCTCCCAACACAAAACCCCACTGGCACAAAATAGCAGTGACTGCAGTGAGGTCACCACTGAGACAGGTTGGCAGAGCTGCATGTATGACTAGGCTAGGACAGCAATAGCAGAAGGGGCTGAAGGTGAGGACTGAGGGGCATTGGCAGAGCTGGGGAAGGCAGTGGGAACTAGAATTAGAATACAGGAGGGGCTGAAGTTTGGAAGCTTAGTATTGATACATTGGCTTGGGTATTAGCTACCTTTGATCAGGTTCTAGGCTTTACTGACCATTTCAGTGAATTCCCTTTATTGTCTTTTGGGTTTGTTTTTGTTTCTTTTTAATTATGTAGTATACATGCAAGTTCAGTTCCTGGCACTCCCCATCCCTGCTCTCACTAGTACCACAATGAAGTCTGGACCTTTGCAGAATGCCTCTTGTGAGGGTCACCCATTTCTTTCTACCTTGCAGTGGGGGACAATGCCCTGTATTGTAAAACCTGCAGCCCGTTTCCCAAAGTGTTGTCAGCAACCTGCTTCTTTAGGCTTCAAAGGGAATTTCTGACCCAACTAAACAGGTCTAATTAGAATCAAACAATAGAACTTTGGTTAATACAGTTTTAAAAAATTAAAAAAAAAAAAAAGTGACTTTAAATCCTCTTAAATATAAACTGGAAAATTAAACGCAGAAAACTTTGAAAAATTAAAAAAACAACTATGCAATCCTTTCTAGATTCTTAAGGCCAATTAGATCATCTAGTCTGACCAACTGTATATCACAGGGCATAGAATTTAACCCAGCTTCTCCTGTATTGAGCTCAACCACCTTACAAAATCCCTTTGAGATACTGCAGGTAGATGATTCTTAATGGAAACTCAGGCAGAGTTTGGAGGAGTATGCTCAGGACCACACAGTGAGTCTGTTGCAGAACTGGAAATAGAAATGAGAAGTTCCTGACTTCCCAACTTCACTCTGCCAGATCATGACACCTTGAGGAATTAAAGCCCCCCAATTCAGCACTTATGCAGGTATGTAAATTTAAGCACATGCTTAAGTCCCTTTCAGGGCCA